AATATGCACAGTAAATAAATTGATGGTTGTCGAATGCCTGCAACAAACAATGGGTTAGTAACAAGAGAAAGGACGAGTATGAGACGCGCGCCCACCCTCCGCGACGGCTCACGAGAAAGTGAGGAAGCTAACGCCGTTATGTATTGGGCATACGCAGGTTTGTTCATGTTGAATTGTTTTTGCCGACTTGAACGACCTTCGTCGTTGAACGACCCAAACACCGGATGGTGGGCCTGGTACGGCGTACACGGCTCGGTCAATAAACTGTCTGACGCAACGTCACTAGTGCGTTGGACCGACGGAGAGCACCGATACCGCGGCACGCTCTACCGTACTTTCTCGCTCGCACACCTCCCCTCATAGACCACTGAAATTCCTCAGCACGCGTCGACACCGACGGAGAGCACCGGTACTGCGGCTCGCTCGATCGCTTTCGCTCTCTCCCTTTCGCCCGCTCCGACCATCTTCGGCCTCGTTCGGTACGCGTCGACACCGACGGAGAGCACCGATACCGCAACTCGCTCTACCGCTCTCGTTTATTTATGATGTTCATATTCCCCAAATAAATATCATATTTAACTAATTTGTTTAAGCGACATGTTCCTTTTAAAGATTTAGCTCTCCAGTATAAATCCCTAAGACCCTTATTTATTATTCATTTCACAAAATAATTGCAAATATGAAACTTTTTTACCTCTTCTTGAACATTCTAATTTCATAGCCCTAAACTGGGTACCTGAAAGTATTTCATTGAATTTGTGTAAAAGATTTTACTACTTCCTAAAAGATTCCGTGTGATATTTGACAGCATAAAAAACAATGTGTCGATACAGGGTTTGGATTTATTTACGAAACTAATCTGACCAGTTGCTGCATTCTTTGACACTAAGTTTCAAGAAAATAAAACTTCTGTATTTCACTTAATTTGAGAGACACGTAGCTGAATATTAACATATGTTCATTATTTAATTACTCGCAATAAATAAAATTTTTGGAAGTAAATAACGTGTAAGTAAATTCATATGTAAAAATTTACCAATTGCCAGAAAGTAATTGTTCGTGCATATTAAAATTCTTACAATAGGCAGTAAAACTATATAATTAAAAAATCCCATATAAATTATAAATATGTAGATGTTAATGAAAGCGGTGTATATATTCTCCCACATGTAGATTTGATAAACTATTTATGAAACTACATATATTCTGAATTTATCTGTTACAAATATGCAAATGTAAAGCAAGATATAAAAACGAATAAAACAGGAACATGTAAAAAGTAACATTAATAAAAATGTCCATTAACGATGCATTTACAATAAATTGTCTTGTAGTGAAGTGGAAAAATATATACTTTTCCGTTTCATGTTTCATAACTGTCATATTTACCCCTTAACCTTAAACTGTAGCATCGGATATTTTTATTCTCGTTAAATCATATAGATACACGTAATATGAATGGAATATATAACACTTCATTTGTGCTAATAATACTCAGAATTCATGCTTTATCGGTAACGTCGGGTATTGACATTAAAATGGTAACAGGGCTACGTAGCCCTATGAACGTGGGACAGAAAAAAGCATTGGATGATAGGTCTATTATATACCTAGTCGGTGGTACTATCATAATTTCTTTTACAATTGGAAACACAGCAACGCCGGGGCATTATTAAGAAATATATGAAATTTATAAACAAAAATATATGTAAAACAAAATTTCCCAAAAGGCTATAGATATTATTAAATAAATATGCTTCACACAATAAAGTAATATGTAGAGTTAATATAAAGAAATAAAATTTACTTGGATTATTGTACTGATTCTTACATTCGGAGGATTACAATAATCTAAACATTTGAAGGATAGGCGGGAAACTGAGAGACCGATAGATGGGGACTGAGGAGTCGGGAAGCCGGCGAAAGCGAGAGGCCTGAGAGGTTGATATGGTAGGTTGGGTTGGGTATATTCAAGCCGGACTCTCACGTTGTTGCCATTTTTACCTTCAGCACGGCTAGTACTAGAGTCGTCTGTGACGGAACGAACACTAGGTTTACCAACCATAGTTACTTTTTTTTAAATTTGCGGTACCATTATTATAATATTTGTTTCTTTATTATTTCTAAAGTATAATCCAAAAAATAGTAATCAGTAATTAAAACCTGGTAGCTTTTAATTTCTTCTGGTCAATCATACAATATGATGTAATTTAATAGTATTATGTTTTCTACATTTTCAGGTTATGTTGTATATTAAAAACATAAATAGTGACGAAAGTATTATCAAATAGTACTGAAGGAAATAAGTGATAATTTGACCTTTGGACAGTTATACGCAGTAATAATACATATTTGTAGTTGGTAATATTTTTCCTTGTTTAAAATAGTGAATCCTGATACATATGTGAATACACAGATCAACAATATCATGGCTTATGCAAAGAATGAGGTAACAAAAATTATTTACTGATCTATTTGTTAATCCTCGTTGGGGTATTGCAATAATAGTTTCTTTTATGTAAAGTGACCAGACGTTCCGGATTATACGGGGCTGTATCGCATTTAAGTTGTTTGTTCCGTATTGAAAACAGTCTCGGAAAGTGTCCCGAATTGGATATGTAACCTTTTTAACATTTTTCGAGTAATGACGATTTTGTTTAAAAAAAATGCACTCAGCAGAAAAATCTGTAGAAATAAAGTAATTATTTATTTAACATTATTCTTTGAATTGATGGTTGTGTTTGTGCGTGCGTGTACATACAACAACAGTTTATGTTAAAGTTTTTCAGAAAAGACTTAATTAATTTAATACTCTCATACTTCCACTGCTAGCAATTCTCTTTGGTTTTACTAATGGTTACCATATTTAAGCAACTATAGTAAACCTCTACTAACTGTACTAAATTGTTGTACTTGTTCTTTGGTTTTACATTTTTTTGTGGACATCTGCATGTACATACTCACATATGTGCCCATACATACTTAAGTACGTACGTACACATGTCTACCCACTCACTCACATATCTACATGTATATGCATATCCTTAGATGCCTATATTTCATCCCAGAAACTTGCTATCTTTAATACTCTTATTATTTTTCTTTTGTCATATTATTGCACTGTCTTTCTCTGCAATTGCTGCTTACACTTATTTCCTATATGTAATTCTTTCCTTATTCCTTCTAGATTCCTATATCATTTTATGACTTCATCTTTGTATTCCTCTGCTATTATTTTATGTTTCTTAATCTCTATCCTTTTTAATTCCTTATACTCATGAATTAAGTGCCTTAGAGTCCCTGGGTTTCTTTTATATAATTTGCATTTCCTCTCTTCTTTGCTTTCCTCATATCTGTCATCTTCTTCCAGTTTCCACACATAACACTTGCCTTAAGTCTTTGTCTTATTTCTTTTCCTTCTGTTCTTAAATATTCCAGTAACTGTGTATGTGATTCTATCTCCTTGAACCTTTTATTGTATATCACGTGTTGAATTTTTCCATACCATATTAGTCTGTCTCCTTCTAAATTGATTATTTTTAATATTGATGTACATACACAGTCATATGTTTTCTTGGTGAAACTACTAAAATGCTGCCTATTCTCTGATTTCGATGATTTTTGGGTATGTTGCAACACTGAATATTTTGAACAACTTTTTCCTATACATATAAGGGGTGGCCTTGCTTAGTTTCGGAGATATTCGGGATAAACTGCCGAGGTAAAATTTATGTTTAGGGGATGTAGTTCCGATGACATTGTCCTTGACATATGTTGTTAAGGACACCCTCGCAAGTTATCTGCAGAAAGTTTCCATTACCAAATGTTTATTAAAAATTTATTAAGAGAACAAACCATGATACCTTTTTCTTGAACTGTCTCCAACCAACTCTGAATGACTATTTTTTCTTGCACTCTCTCTAATCAACGCTGAATGACTTTTTTTTCTTGAACTTTGACTAACCAATTCTGAAGCATTATATTGGTCGGAGTTGATTAGAGCAGAGGTCGGTAAACTATTTTTGTAAAGGGCCAAATAGTAAATATATTAGCCACATACTTTGAAATTTTTAAAAATTTGAAATTGTACAATCTATTTTTAGCTCGCGGACCGTACAAAAAGGGGCGGCGGGCCGTAGTTTGCCAACTCTTGGGTTAGAGTAACCGGTTGGAATAACTGGTATATATTAAGATTTACTTATGAGTTGGTTCTTAGCAACGCTTGCGTGAAATAATTACAAATTAATTATAAAAATAATGATAAATTTAATAAACATAATAACGAATGTAAAAAACAATTTTAAATGTATATTATATAGTGTGACCCGGTTCACGTTAATAAGTCTGCTAAGAATGAATCGTTACTCTGTCGCAGTTAAGTAAACAAGGATAAGCGGTCGGTATTCGGAAAAAACAGTGACGCATACGTGGCCATAGGCGCACAACTATAGGCCGAATTTATTGCCTAGTACCGACAATTTTTCGCAAATATCTGAGAAACTAATAATACTGTCCACCCCTTATATGTATAGGAAAAGTTGTTTAGAATGTTAAGATTTAGAACATATCCAAAAATCATCGAAATCGGAGGGTAGGCAACTTTTCTGCAGTTCGACCGTTTTCTTTTGAGACTGTTATTGTCTATGTAGTTAATTTTTTGTTAGAAAATAGTAGTTCTTATCTTTTTTTTTATTAAATTGGGATGTTTTTTTTGTAATTTTTATATTAGTAAACACAAAAAGATAGTCCAACACATTTCATAGACACAGAATTAAATAAACTAAGCAAATGGCGTCCTCATAAATGTGTTACGTATTTGTTTTTTATTTCTCCTTGGACATTTTCTGGTTTCCAACATGAAACATCTGGTCACTTTACTTTATAATTTATGTAAAAGTAATACTTGTTACGCGGAATTTGGCTTTCGGGTCCTGGTCAGGCGTGTGACCGTGGTCCGCCGCGAACAAAGCCCCTCTCTCGGTTTCCGCGACTATTCGCGCCTCCGCACGTTGAACGCTTGGCACTCCCCGAATGCCAGTATCGGGTAGGACTTCCGATACCTTCGAAATTTACTAAGAGTGGAGGCTACGAGAGAGTCTGTTACCGGCTAGCACGGACAAGGGTCGAGGTTCGCAAGTAGGATGCGGAAAGTCTCCTCACGACAGGAGGCGGTTGGCGAATAAATCGAGATCGTCTTGCGTTAATTTAGACGTTTATTAACGCCACACGTCTACCCTTGAGGGTAACGCTAACAAAGGTCGACCGGCCGCCTCACGAGGTCGGCTCCTCCACCGTTGGTTGGCGGTGTGGTCCTCTCGTAAGGTGGGCGACCTTTATCCCAATAATCCAAATAATCGGCCGATATCCAATAACCTAATAGCGGCTCCTGGTCAGGGTGGAAGAAAACGGTTCCGGAGTCGGGTGTCGCTACATGCTCGTTACGGCCCTGTAATTATGCGCAGATGCTCGGTGCGGTAAAAGACGCGGTTAGTCGCTGTTTAAATGTTCGCTAATTCTCGGTATTCCTCTAGAAGCGCTCGTGTGCTGCCAGTGCGTGTGAGAGCGCTGTTTTGCGGGGCAGAGGACAGTCCGGTTCTATTCGTACTACACTCCACGTTCGAATTTGGAGCGGTCGCGTTACGCTGTGAAAAAGCAGCGTAACATACTTGACATGCGTTCTTGTAAATATGAAGTATAATGTGTAGTTTATATGCATATACTTAGTATCATAAATATTTTTCATAAAGATATTGCTAACACATATTTTCAAATTCATTTAAAGAAATGTAAAACTGTGTTTTTAAGTCTAAGAAATGCTATGTATATACAAAGTATCCTTAATAAACATTAATATACCGAGTGTTTTATGAATATATTGCCTCAATATTTAAACTGGTTCTGATAGTTTAATAATCAAATGTTTCAAACGAAAGTTCATTGGTAACAAATGAAGAATGTATTGACATGAACAGAATTTTGGAAAGATCTTGTGTTAGAAACTGAAATTGTTTTGTGTTTTTAAATATCACATAAAAAAACGACTTCGATAATGACAAAATGTGTCATTTTCATTATCGATCTTAAAATTATTTAATTTGTATCTGAAGTACAGTCGCTGATACGTAACATTGACAAATGAATGTGTTTATAAAACGTAAACAAATAAAAAAGACCAAATAACTGTAAATGTTTTGAAAGACAAAAGTAATTAGAGTAAGTATTATAACTGCGTTCCATTTGTTGTATCTATTAATCAGCAGGTATTTCATAAACTATTTATAGTAAATAACCCTAGAAATAAAAATATAAAGGGTGTACGCCTGGTGAACGAGCTGTGTACGAGCCATTCCACGTCAAAACACACAGGGAATTGCGGTCATAGTCACCGATTCTGTTCAAATTTACAGCATTTAATGATAACCACGAAGAAATGGACCTTGTCAAACTTCGGCTTTCTATCTCGAACCGTTTCCGACATATTTAATGTTACAGTTCTGAAAAATTGGACGAAATCAGCCTACGCATCACTTCAACCGCACTATTTTGGTTATTTTTAAACATAGAGCATTGATCTTGCTCTCACTTTAAAGTTAAAGTAACTCTTTATCTAACTGTACTCACAAAATATTGTTCATCGTTAATAAATACAATAATAATTAAAGTAACATTTTCAAATGCCGATTTGACACTATTCCCACCCATGGATCAATTTGGAAAAAATACCACTGGTTTCCTCGAATTCTTCTTCCTTCAGCTTTAAAATATGTGTAGGGGTTTTTAGTGAATAGAGATATTTTTTTTAAAGCAAGAATATTTAATAACGGAAAAATAAGGAAAAAACAAAATCACACACAATAAACTTGCTCGGTCGCTTTCTAAACTCGCTTGTTGACTTCTCCCACGACACTCGACGCTCTCTCGATTCATAGTCCTCTTCTTCGCATCTCCATTCCCGAAAACCGACCTCCTCATGCACACACTTATTCACACCGATAACATAGACACGCACTCCTTAAGACCTATAGTTCCTCGAATCCACGAAGCAGCGACCCCACATGTGCTTCCCGTAAAGATGGAGCGATTTCCGGAACATTAAAAAAAGTAAAGTTTACCATGATGTACGTCGCGTGGCGTATGCCCAGTAGGGTGGACCTTAGCTATACCTAGGGAAAAGTTTTTTGCGAGATTTTTTTCACGCCGCCCCCTACAATTGTTCCATTGGGTAACATAATAATTGCTGTAAAAGATGAAGTTGATCAGATAACAGGAAGACGTGGCACATCCACGTTGAAGTTTGAAATAAATATGAAATTTGGTATAAATGGAAATATGTGAAGAAAAGACTGTGAATTATGCTTAAATGTTCTTCTTGTACACAATATTGACAATAATAGTGCCACAATATAATTTTTTCAATATAATAGTTAAGTAATACTTATGTTTTTTTTTAATTATGTATGTTAAATATTATATTTTGCGTAATTTACTGAAAGTATCAATTCTTTCAGTTATTTTCTTATATTATTTGTAAATTAGTAATAATATTAATTTAAATAGTTGATGAGCGAATGTTCGACATTAATATTTCATCTTTAATAATAATATCCATATGTTTAACTTAGAGTGGTGAATATTATACCATAAGGAGGCGAAGAAAAGAAATACGGTTATTGAGTTTAAACACTTTTTAATAGACGCAAAACAACAATTCTAAAAACAAATTACAAATTTTTCATTGGAGTAGTTTTTTTTGTGTCCGGAGAGCGCTTTCTTTAATCGGATACAATTTTCATTATAAATTGTTTCTCCTGTTCATTACATGATAGTGCATCATTAAACTCTTGCATGAGTTTGACTCCCCGTTCTGCCGAATCATTAACTACAGCTAAATTACGTACTATATTTACGCCAACATTATAATTAGGATGACTTGGCCAGTCTGAAGGATCCTTATTTATAAAATCTATGGAAACTGAACACATTCATATAAGACTCCAACGGAGTTTCGATTAATTCTTGTGCATCTTCAGACGATGATGATGATAACTTCGCTGTTTCTTCTTAATTAAATGATACATATAAAAACATGAGAGTAAAGAAACGTAATATCGGATAAGACAAATTACATAACTATGTAAAAATACATCCCTTGTAAACTTGCTTAATATTTCTCACGTCTCAACTGTTCTTTTTCTTGACGAAGTGTTTGTCGTCTTTCCTTCTCTAATAAGACGCGGTCGCCTCTGGAAGATCTGGGTCGTCCTTGTTTCCTTTGATTTATAAAGGACGCTTTATTTTCTTCAATACTCATCATGTCCAAATCATCATCATGAGCAATGTCGAAAAGATAGTCTAATTTTTTAAGAAAATCGTGTTCCCGTTTTACCTTCCACTCCTGGTATAATGCTTCCGTTTTTTCAATGCTCCTATCTAATTTCCGTGTTGGAATATGAGCTTTCTCCCATAGAACCTTGACTTCTTTCATAACCAGGTGAACACTTGAGCGAAGATTTAATTTTACTTTACGCAGTTTGTAAAATAACACGCGTAAGACATGTCCATTAGATGGCAACTTAGCACCAATGATTTGACTTTCTTCATGGTCGAGAAGATAGAAATTTTCTCTTCCTCTGGTTTTAATTTTCGATTTGAATTTTCACAGTTATTGTCACGATCACGCTGTATTGTTCTCTCTGAACGCTAAGAATAAACTAGCTGAATCGGTATTCCTGCAAGGGCTTCTAGGCTAGGCGCTCTGCCCTTTCCTAAACGGTATTTCCTTCTCCACACGTAGGGACCTAACGATTCCTGATTCAGAACTCTTGAGGAGTTCGAGTATTATATCTGGGCAGCTGTGACTGCATTTTCAAGGCTAAGGATTGATTCACAGAAAATTCTATAACATACAGCGTGCAGTCGATGTCGAAGGCCGTATCTCATATTTCGGTGTTACTGCGGGCCAGTTAATGAGAAATATTCTTAATTCGTACAAATTAAATTTGTGTTTTAATGTACATATGGACAAAACTAAATACTAAATAAGTAAAGAATTATGCTATTCTCAAAAATATAAAATATTTCACTTAAATTTGCTGAAACACACTACATTTAGCGTGCAGTTACTCCTATTTCAAAACTTCGCATTCGATGTGCCACGTGTTCCTGACGTCCAATTGATCTTAAATTTTGTATACATTATTTTTTTACGAAATGGAACAATTTTAGGGGGCAGCGTGCTAAAAATTACATAATTGAAAAATAAGGTCCACCCTAGTGTCCAGTGCCTACGCGCCGCGCCGTCCTACTATAACGGGTGGCGCACAATGGTATTGATTTCCCAAGATACACCTACTTATCATAACATGTAGAAAAATATATGTATATTTTAGACTACCTAAATTTTTATATCAAATGTTTTGTTACGTCATCCTATTTATTTTCCTGCTATTTATTTGGCAAATTAATGTCATTTCCTTACTTCCAAACTGATGATTTGCATCTGTAATTAGAAAAAATATACAAACTCAAATGGGAATCTAAAGCTATTAAAATGTGTATATTGTTGTGTGAAAGAGAGGTATGGGGCATTCTATTCGAAATTGAGAGAGGGACCGAGAACTTTGTCGAGGACAGTTAGCCACCAGCGAATTATACTAATCATTAGATATATATTATTTTACATAAGACGGGTTCCAATTATTCAATTTGAACTCAGATTCCTACAATATCAAATATAATAATTCTTTTAATATTGGAAAAATCAAAATTCCAGTTAGTCGTAGTTTATACATATTTCGGCATATAGTTTTCATATACAAATCTACAAGAAAATGGATTAACATTTGACCAGAAAAATAAGGAAAAAGTGCTATTTTTTAGATGTCTTGTTTCAATAAATAGATTATTCTGGAATTCAATCACATAGCTGGATTCCTTATCAAAACACACACAATATTGCAAATTATGCCATTTTTATATCTCTAATATTTACCGAGATATTTGACCGAATACAGTTCGCGCCCCCAAATTTGAGGGTTATTTTCACCCCTTTAACGTGGATAAGAGCAGCTAAAAAAAATACGTGTCAAGTATTTTTATGGAAACTATAATTTTACACAGTTGCATAGAAATCAGCGATTGTCAATTCGGTATGTTCCCTTGTCAGAGGTAACACTGACTCATATTACTACCCAAATTTCTGTTTGTCCGATTTTGCTTTAATTTAGAAAAAGTAAAAAAATCAGAATTTCTGTAGGGTTCACAATATTTATCTTCATGGAACACATTTGACATGAAATTCCTCAATGTTATATTCGTACCTCCTCTATTATTCAAAAAGCGCTTGTCTATGTCATGACTATCTTATGTATATGAGCGCTTGTTGTTGTGTGGTGGAAACAATTGTATCTGACATTCTGATTGTTGAATATGATGGAAAACTCATATAAAATATTTCGAATTTGCAGGAAAACAATATTTTAGAAGCAACTACAGTCTTTTTATTGATGAAAAAAGGTTTTCCTATATCCCGAAATGTAAGAGCTCAGTGGATGGTAGAGCATTTAGACACTGTAATACCTATTCAGTGTCCAAGTTCAAAGCAGAAAGAAGCAGAAGAATTGGAAATAGTGTCCGTACTGCCAAAAAATAAACCGGAATCTTGGTCAGCTAAAACAAGTCACCAATACCTTTATAAAGTGACTTCTACAACATCCATAATATTTTTAGCGCACAAGTACAGAATAGTGCTTAATTTGGACTTAAGTCCTTCTCTCGCAACCGTTGTAAGTACTGTGCCTAAATGTAAAATAACTGGAACCTGATAATGTATCACTTTTGTTATACAATTTTATTAATATTTCTTAAATTACTATACGCTGATACTCTGTTTATTAATATTTTGTAGCGAGTGTCAGTAATATATATGTTTAAAATCACTAAAAATCGCCCTTTCAATGGCAAATTGAATTTAGTTTTATACATTATAAATATTCCACACGTAGTACGTATGCGGATGGACTGATTTGTTGGAAGAAACTTAGACAGGGTCAGTGCCGGCGCTAGGTTATTTTGCGCTTTAGCCCAAGCTCATTAACGCGCCCCCTATTTTACAAATTAGTTACATTTTTTCAAAATTGATAATATAAAAAAAGAAAACAATAATTTGAATCCACATATTTATTATCAATTCCACGCAAAAAGTTACACATAGATCATAAAATTAAAATTTAATTTGTCGTGCCAATTTTCCTCGCAAAATTTTCTACTAGTTCCTTCAAATCAAGTGTTGAAGCTTGGTTGTATGTATATTTTTATTTATTGCGTTAAACAAAATGCTATTATTATTATATAAGTTGCACCGTTCAATAAGACCGGCTAGATTTTTACACCTTCTTCCAACTACTTAATGGTAGCGCCGGCCCTGGACAGGGTGTTCAGGTACCGTTGTCAGAAACGTTAAGGGGTGATTTTACATGGAGAAACAAGACGAATATAAAAAAACGACTAAATTGTGTTGGATGCTTCGTTTTTCATATGTTAATTGGTAAAAATGCGGATGAATTACTGCTCAAATCAGTCACTGACGCCGGCAGCGCTGTAACTTTGAAATGACGACCTACGCCGCCACGCAATACTCCAATAGTTTCTTTTAAAAGTTCATATAAGACTTAACCGTCACTTATCACATTTCTATAATATCTCGTATTTTAAAACCATAGATAGGCTAGGAGGGTGACTCTGGGGGGGGGGGGGGTATGTTTGATGTCCCTATTAATAATTCCCATCCGTAGTAGCCTTAGTTTGTTTGAAACAGTCGAGAGAATTATATCGCAAATTTGTGTTTGGGTATGCCATATCCAGTGTGATGAGGACATTAAAAAAAATTATTTCTGTAGAACACAAAATTAATGTAAGTATTGCCTTAATTAAGTATTTTTGTTGTAAATGTATCCTAGAATTGAATTACCGAAAGTAAAACGTGAAAAAGTATTAAAACAATACAATTTTTTTACCTTGTAGTATAGTGTAACGCCCGAGTTACAGGAGTTGCGACGTCCAATGGATGACCGGTTTCCTATGGACAATTTTATGTGGGGTTTCGTGTGAAGGCAGTTTTAAAATTCATGGGCAAATTTATATAATGCACATAAATACCAAAGGTGGTTGCCACCTCGCGCTCTGTCACCTACAGCTCGGCCAGTTTGACAAACATGTCCGTCTTTGACCACTCACAAGTTCCCAAATACACTCACACCTGTTTTTGTGCGATTTTTTATGCGGTATATAAAAAAAATGTCCACCGAAATGCATAATATGAATAAAAAGTAATAAAATGTACGAAATAACAAAATAAAAAAAATTATGAAAGTCAACTCTGAATGAGTGCGAGGTAGCATCTTAAAGTGACGAAAGTGATTTTGAATCAGCTCACCACAAGAAAATTCGCGTTCTTGACTACGAAGAATAATTTTTATATGTAGATTTTGGAAAGTTTCGTATGTGTAATATATGATATATAAGTAAATAAAATATTTAAAAATGTTCCCATGTGTAAATTAATTTTTTTATCTTGTTTGGAAGAGTAATTTCTAGTTACATCGTAAGGTTTTGAGTTATTTTCTATGTGAGACATTTTTTTCTGCGGTCCCTATTCACAGCATAAAAAGTTTTTTTTTTAAAAATGTGTTACGAACAATAGTTTTTATAGCTACTTATGAAGTTTCGGAATATTTTTTTTGTACGTCATCTTTTACGCGGTCCCTATCACCCGCACCAAAACAGGTTTGAGTGTACACTATTCTAAGCATGAGGGCAAATCCCATTTCTGAATTTGTAGGAAAAAAAGAATCGGTTTATCGGCTACCGGGAATCAAACCGGTGTTATTCACTTTTCGGACGATTGCTCTTATTTATTTTTTAATAAACATGTTTATTGCAAAAGTTTAGTACATTTAGTTAAATTGGTAACAATAAACATAGAAAAAATACCAAACGGCTATTGCAGCTTATATCTATTTGTGCACTCGCTTATGTAACTTATAGATAAACATCTTTGGTTAATATATAACGTTTAGTATTAATAACGCTTAAAATATAACAAAGTAATAGTAATTAACTCTAATCAGTCTTTGGATATTAGGAATTCGGGGAAAAGCAACGTAAGTATAAAAACCCCTTCAACAGTCTTTGGTATAACAATACTTATAACTAACTTAATACTAAGGGAGAGGAAAAGAGGAAGAGAGAAGAAAGAGAAAAAGGAGAGGAAAAGTATTATATATACACTATATACAAAATAATTTAACTTCCCTACATAGAAAAGTTATCGTCTAATGTTGACCACAACCCCTTCAAAGTACTTAGAATTACTATGGTCGAAGAGAGCTTATTCTGCGCTCTCTAAGGTCAGCTAAATAAATGTCATTGATCGACAACCACCAATACTTTTTGAAGTTCAGTCTGTGGAAGTCCATATGATCAATGTCCGGTAGCGCCAAAGAGAACTTAAAGTTATTATTATTTATAATAAAATCAGAATGATGAAACGCAATTCTTTTATTTGCTTTATTCCGTCTTCAGTGGTAAATGAGATTTATGTTGTTCGCGTTTTGCCTGGGGCGATAAGTATCCATTGGTAATTTGACGTTGTGAGACAAAGGGGTCCTGTATTAAAAGAGTATGTCATTCTTAATCAATGGGAGTTTACTAAAATAATGTGAGTTTTATAATGAATGAATCAATCCTCGGAATTCCAGCTTTGTTGTACACAATTTTGTTATTAATATAATGTTGCCAGTCTGACTGTTGAGATCTATACATTCTTATGCAAGTCTTAAGCATTTTCTCTCAAACATTCGTATTTTTTCCATTACTGTGTGGTTACAGTTCCACCATATATGTGCAGCTTAAGTTACTATGCGTCTAACTAATAGCATGTATAAGATAACTTTTGTTTTATTAGAAAGGTGTTTATTGTAGAAGATCCTGCAATTGGTTTGGAATGCTATTTTGGCTTTGTCAATTTGTATATCAATATGTTTATTGAAGTTTCCCTTAATTCCTTTTATAATAAGCGATTTCGGTTTAATGTGTTCCGGCGTGAACGTGTAATGCTGAATTTTATTTTCTTTCAGCTTATCGACTATTCTTGGTGGTGTTCAAGCTGGTTAATATATTAATATATTGTATGGTTCTCTTTGTTAACTTCTTTAACAGCAAATTCTGTTTTAGCAATTTGCGTTGATTTAATACAATTTATAATTGTCTGTATGTTTGAATTAACCGTATATATAAGTGGAGGTTTTGGAATTTTGTTAGAATATCTGCCCGTATTTCCTAACGCTGTAGCATTATCCTTAAGTTCCATTTCGTCATCATTAGAAAGGATGCTATATGTATTATTCCTAGAGCAAGGGTGTTCTAGCGATGAATCATCATTTTTGTTTATGACTGCTAGTTTTTTTTGGAATTTCCCAGTGTTCTGTCGATGCTTCGGACTTCTCCACTTTCCGTGTGTTTAGTGACGCTTCCGCTAGGGGCGCAAGTGATTGGCTTTTCCTAGCTGCTTTAAGGTTAGGGGAAACCTTGCTTTTGTTACTAACATTATTCTCCTTGAGAAATTGCTTGTATAATCGATCAAGTTGTAAATAGTGGAGCTTAGGTACTTTCAACGCTCTTGATTTCAAAGAAGACGATGCCTCGTTTTCTTTGTCGGAGGATTCTGGCGATATGCATCGCTTTGAGCCATGAGCCCTCGATGTATCCATTTTACCCACTTTTAATTACGAAATGCGGTATAAAACCCACCATAAACATGGTAGATTAATATCTACAACACTATGCATCGTTGTAACTGATAATTATTGCACTGACTAATATTGATTCACTAGCATTAACTTGATCTACAGAAAATTACTCGCACTGTCGGTCGTACGTCTTACCCCGGTGGCGGTCAGATTCGGACATTCGGCGGACTCCCGACGATTGCTCTTACCACTGAGCTACCCAAGCTGTTGTCGGTTCCTTCTCTCTAAATTCATATAATGTACACAAAGAACAAAGATGGCTGCTGCTGCGCATTCTGTTGCTTACGAAAGTAAGAATCCAAGCCTTCTGTTCAGAGCTTATACCGCATCTAATTGTTAGATACGAATCACGGAATTGTGAAGAACTTCTCCTGATCACTTTAAATAATTTCGATGTTCAGTGCATGAATATGTATGACTTGTGAATGTGACACCATTAAAAAACAAATCCTCATTATGTTAATTAACTCACAAGGTTTTCATTATTATGATTTTACAAGATTTAGAATACTTTTTCAAATATGAAAGTTGTATAAGTATTGAACAATCATTATTAAAAAAAAGATGCTTTTTGTTCAACGAAACTTCGCGTTACACGTGAATTTTAATATTCACGGCTACACATTTCAAAGTCATACATATGTATGTATTCATGTACTGAAGATCGAAATTGTTAAAACAACAGTGATCAGGAGAAGTTCTATAGAATCCCTAAAAACTGGGTGTCAATAAGATTGTATCATCGGTGTCTGTTGCGCGTTCCGATATTTTTTCTGGATGGTTTCTCCTTTAGAAATGTCTGCAGAATCCGATACCGTGTAGCGAATTCATGTTGGATAAAGAACTTTACTTAAAAATGCAAAAGTAGTTTGTAGAAAGTACACGCAGCGACTCTTTTTTAAACTTTGACGTCTATTTTATAACTATTCATAATTACAAAATTTAAAAACCGTATACATTGGTATAATCGGGAAACTCTCCTTTATCTTTGAAGACTAAGTTAAAGTTTCTACCGTTTTTGGTTTTCACGTAATAACTCATTTTTGCCCGAAGTTATCCATTTTTACAAAAATTCGTGTTTTAATATCATATCGGGATTTCGTCAATTGGCATGTAAACTGAAAATAAACCGAAAACCGCATTTTCTACCGCATTACACTTCGAATACAATCGCATAGCATTTGTATAAAAAAATGCATCTGCAACATTTCTACGTTTTAACAATGGACTTCATGGTCTTACTTACTTGTTTTGTTTATATAGACGAGCATCGTAAGAATCTATGCTTATTATACTATTCAACGCGTACAAAATTTTTGAGCTCTCCACTAGGCGTCTCTTATCGATTTTTATAAGCTGAACATGAATATGCAAACCGTTTTTCCCCAGAATGTACAGTTTTTAAAAAAAATTGCAAATTTTCAACTTCGAAGATGTTTTGTGCTTTTACAGTAATAATTACCAGTTGTTTTTGACATGAAATAATTCTCTGGACTTTTCCGAACAAAATGATGTAAATTGTTACTGATATTATAGATGTATAAATAATTGTTTAATATAAAAATGAAAATAACACTGAAAATACACCAATTTTTACTGATATTGCAATCAGCGTAACAGAAGCGCTAAAAGTGCAACATATTTAGGCTTCTGTAATATAATACCTAACAATTTACATTATTTCGTTCGAGAGAGTTCAGTGAATTATTTCGCGTAAAAAACATCTGAATTACTGTTACTGCAAAAGCACAATACACTTCCAAAGTTAAAAGTGTGCATTTTTTAATAAAATTGATTATTACAAAAACTGTACTTTCTAGGAAAAAAGATGGTTTGCGAATTCGTGTCCAGCTCATAGAGTTCTATTAGAAACGCCTATTGAAAGTTACAAAACTTTTTCGTGATGAACAATGTTATCTATTTTAGCTGTAAATTTGTAACTAATTCACAGTTAATTTTTAATACCAATTCTTATTAAAATTACTACATGTGGTACATTATTAGGTTTTTAATATAAATGCTTTAATTCTGAAATTTTCATCTATGTATATTAAGAGATTGTATTGTTTTAGGATATACAACACGGTGAAATAGTTATAGATGAAGTATGTGTCGCAACAAAGCACTTTTTGGAAGGTATTATTAAACCTGTAAGTATTAGCATCATTCTTTTTGTATGTAAATAACAGTGTTCAACAAATTTTAACTTTTTTCCTACCTCATACCTGTTGGTAGGCATTTCTGATAGATACTTATGAGCTGATAGATACTTAAAAATGTTTGCTCCAGTTGGGTAATTATTGTGACACAGAAAATTTTGTTCTCAAGGTCATAGTTTCCGATATTCCAAGGTCACCGTCGTTTCTTTCAAAATAGTATAACTTATTTTGGTTAGTGTAATGTTACAGCTTTTGAAATAACAAATTCCACCATGTTTAATATGTCAACCTTTAAATGACCTTTCGATGAGTTATTCTTCAAAAAGCGTATCTTAACGTACGAAGACGTTTGATCTCGAAACGGGCCGCTGGCCGCAGCTTTCAAAAAGTGTGTTGCCCAGCGTTAAGCGTGGAGGTTAAGAGGAGTACGCAAAGCCACGCACAATACAAGATATGAGAATAATGATTTAATTGAATACTATAGACATTTATTTAACGTTTATGATAAAATGAAGAGTCGGAGACACTGACGCGATGCAAGTGCGATGTGTCGCATGAGAATTATACTGGTATTTTGCGGTTTCTTGGCGGGAGATAATGCTCGAGCGCCGAAAGCCCTTTTTTGCAGAACCTGGTAATTGGCTATGTGTTATTGCGGGAAACAGGTGCGTACCGTGATTGGATTTCGGCGAAATCATGTGATATTTGAGGCACGCGAACGACACGTTCGAATTTCAATCATGCCGCCCGCCTTGAAACGGTAGTGTCAAAACACTAGCATTCCGCCCGCCGTTATTTCGTGGTATTGAAAATTCAGAGCAGGCGGACGCCGAGATTAACTTAAGGACGAAAATTCATGATTAATCCTCCAAGTACTGGACTCGCGGGGCGTTCGAAGCCGGATCATTTCTGATTCACATCGATAGATTACTAAACAGGATCATGGTGTCTCGAGCTCGAGGGCCTTACCGACACTGTAGAAGTTTTGTGGACTAGAAGAAAGGACAGCGAATACAAAAGGAAATAGAGTGAGCCGAAGTCGTGAATCAATACTTCTGTGGCGTTTTAGCTCGACCGTTTTTATACAATGTCATACGTCGATCAGTTCCCGAATTACACGGACAGCACCATCACTGTGTGCGTATCGCTCATGTGAGCGCATGACGTGTGACTCCGGCACCGTCCACGGAGGGTTAATGACACGCGTGTAATGAAGATATAGCGCACTTAACTAACTGTACAACATGTGATTTAAGATCTAGACGCTTCTCTGACAACGGGCAGCGTACGGAGTTTAACAATCGGTCGTTTGAATTCCGATGTCGCGGTTTTTACTGTAACGACGCGATTCAATCTATCGGAACCACGATGCAGTTGCACGATTCAACCGAATTTCTATATACACGGAGGAAGCGCCACATTTTGCAACAGGACAGTTGTCCAGTCTCCACTATCGGTCGAGCTTTTCGTCATCGGCTTCGCTGCTGCAATATATTTATGTAATCGCTTCCAGAATCGTTCGTTAATGTGCTGCACAAGTTCCAACGCGACAAGCAGTTTTTATTCACATCAAGGATGGACGGATCTGGAGCGTCGGTAAGAGCGGAACCAACCAGAAAGTGGTCGGGCGTAAAGAGGCTTGTAGCCCTCGAGGGAGTCGGATAGAGGAGCGATGGGGCAGGAATTCAGATAAGCCTCGATCTGACCTAGAAGCGTTGTGAACTCCTCAGTGGTAATGATGAAGCTTCATGCTGCGCACTCCAGCGTCCCATAAACTGCCAAAATGTGGTACTGCAGGGGAAATAAATCGTCACGATACATTGTCGCAAGCCATTTTATTGAGAAATAGGGTCGCGGAACACGGCCCGGTATGCGAGGGTCATCTCCTTTTCGGTGCCAACGAAGGATGTCCCGTTATTTGAATAGATGGTAGACGGAAGTCCGTGGTGAGCAGAAAGTCCCGAAAAAGCGTTGCGTAACGCGGAAGTGTAGTAGTCGCCGACGAGCTCCTAATGGCGTGGGTGGAAAAACAAATAAGAAGTGCGATATATGCTTTTCGCAAAGTGATGCCGTGTCCGGCAGAGGCGCGGATCCTGATGGACCCAACATAATTAAGACCGCAGTATAGGAAGTCTGAATAGGTGGATTTACGCGGGAGAGGGTAGGTCCCCCACGGTGTATAACGAGATCCAAAAATCTAGACGAAGGGTGCTCAACGCGAGCTGTAGTCCTCCGTGAAGCGTGCAAAGATGCGCTTGAGATATAATAAGCTTCATAAGCGAATGTGCAGCGAGAAAGACCGGATGCCGCTGATGGAGTGGGGAGGACGAGTTTTAACTTTAAAATCGTGTAAAAAAATACCGTGTAAAAGGTGGGTCAGGTGTACTCACAGGCCATAACCTCCAGATCTATATTTTCATTAGAGAGGATATTAGAGTGCTCCTGCCCGAGAATTCATTGTTCCTGGGCAAGTGCTGCACCAAACAGCCAATTCTGGGGTAATTGTAGGAATCTACCAATTTTTGTACCACGCTAGCATATGCAAGAACCCATTCAGCTCCACGATAGCATATACCAGAACCATAAAGTCACCGTGGCTGGGATCGAACTAATGATCAAAAAGTTCGCAGCGATTTCGGAGTCGGACACTTAACCGCTGCGCCAAGAGTGAAAGAAGAGTTGATATCAAGTTAAATACGACAGTTTCATATATGAGGGACATAGTATATGGTCAAGCAGTTGTGTTATTTTATATCTTTAATTTATATATTATTGTACTGAATGTAGAAATACGTAAAATCGTATAATACAATTATTTAACAAAGAAAATAGAAAAAGTTAAAGTGTATGTTACTTTTTCACGGAAATAACGTCGAAAAAATCAGTTTTTGATTTTTTAAACTATGATGCACCCTACCAAGAATCACCCAAAACTTGAGGACACTACTTATGATAATATGTCGATACTGTCAAAAGATAAAATAACTTAATTTACTGCAATACTGATTCTATTATATTTATAATGTCTTTACATTGCATTAATTTGAAAATTTTATTATTTTTACAGTTTATAGTACCAGGAAGTAATAGAAAAATGCAACCAGAAATTTATGTAACTGTAATAGCTCATACACCCTTTTTCACAAGTCCAGCGCAACAAGTATTAGTACAAGGGTGGTTAGTAACTATGAGCAACGTTAATCAACTTACAAATTTCATAGAAAAACAACTTAATATGTTAGAGGAGAAGGTAGCGTCTGTTACTGCTATAGCTAGTCAACAATTAGAAAATTTAAGAACTGAAAGTGAACGATTAGTCGGAGGACTTTTTGAAGAAAGCAGTACCTGTTTGAATAAAAACAGTAATTGTGTCACAAACGCTTCAATAATTTCTCCAGAATCAACATTTGTGAATATGTTGAGATATGGTATGTTAGCGTTGACGCTTCTGCCCGAACACAGCTGTGCACGTAAGTTTATTGAAACTTTTATATATACTTAAAATTATGAAATAGGTCGTAACATGCAGATTCTTCGTGTTACAAGATATTAGAGAGTCGATTACGATCTTTGTGCTAGAATGCACCGTTAATGAGTTATACATATGTGTAACGCGCGGCGGGTTGCGTGCGTTGGCTGTAATTTTACGTAGAATCTCGCTCGTAGACGCTACGCATGTTAACAGTACTAAATAAAATAAGAATAGAACAAATTTATTGGTTTAGTACAATGTGGTCCAGTCGTCTAGTCCAGGGCTGCATAACTTCTGCTCCCGGAGTCGGTGCCCCTCTCCGAGGCTACCCCCACTACGCGGCTCAAGCTGCCTCGTCCGCTACGTACAGAGCGTCGCGTGCTATGGCGCTGCGGCCCGTACGGGGAGAGATCTTCCCACCACACCGCCAGTACCAAGACCTCTCGCAGTACCACGAACTTTGCCACGAAGCGAGGGCACTACAGTCTTTCGATCTAGTCATGGACCTAGGAATGGGACCTTGCGCTTCGACTTCTAATTCCTATGTCCATGGGTTCAGTCGCGGTCGTATATATTCCCTGTAGCGTATCAGGGCGCATACGCCTATTCTTGCTTTTAAAACATGATGTACAAACACAACGAATGCAGCATTGTGTGGCTAGCGAAAGATTCATTACACTTTCGGTCTTCCTTAAGGCAGGCCTGTCCAACATGTGGCCCGCAGGTCATTTCGTCAGACGATGCGGTTCCCACCATCACTCAGTCCATACCCCACTACTCGCTTGCGCTGCGATGCGATCGTGCGGCAAGAGGTACGTGCGGGTAGGAATTTTTGGAGCGTCAGAAGTGGGGACAGTTAGAGCATGTACACACGCTTTCTTGCCTCTGATCGTCGGGCTTCTTGTGGATATGGAGGGGGGGCATTCCCCTCGGCTGAAAGAGCAAGCCGGTAGGGGCGATTATCGATTTTGTCCCGCGGGCCACAAGTTGGACAGGCCTGCTTAAGGGATCACCACCACCACGGCAATTTTCTAACCTGTATATACTACCGTGCCTAGTAGGGACCGCAGCGCCGTACATGCGACCCTCTGTAGGTAGCGCGCGAGGCAGCTTGAGCCGCGTAGTGGGGGTACCCCAGGAGCGGAACACTGACTCCGGGAGCAAAAGTTATGCAGCTGTAGTCTAGTCCTATACAGATCCAGCAATGGGTGATTACACGGTTCAACAAATTATAACTTTTTTTTTCTGATCTGCAATATCCACTAGGTGATCTCTGTAGGACGAACTTACACGTACGCGCAACAGTCAAGAAGCGATGTACCTGGTCACTGGCTTCTGCTTCTTGACTGCCACCGCGTACGTGTGGCCCACCGCTCAACTGATGGGAGTTTGTTTAACTGCTAATATCTTGGAAATAGAACTTTAGATTACAAAACGGTAAAGGACTTTTCGATTTGTATGTGCATCAAGAATATGCATGTTGCGGACTGTCGAACTTTTTTGAGACACTTTGTATATAATACAATTATAATAAAGGTATATTATTTGTGTTTGAAACCATATATATGCATTCGTTGTCACTGTTAAATTGCTGTATTAATAATAGAAAAAAATATGTTGCATAAAAGTACAAAGGGGTCAAAAGTGCCCTAGACCGATTTGGACATGTAATATACCATTCGATAGCTTGTGCCAAGTTTCAACCCTCTCTTTCAATCAGGAGGGTAGTAACATGGAAAATTCAGATTATGGGTTCTTCCTCTGTTTTTTCTGTTTAATGACGCGCAAACATTCTGTAAACAATCTGATAGATAGTACTTATTGGGATTTAGCGCGTGTTTGAGATTTTTTTGCGATTTTTGAGTTGGGCATCCTAGTTGTAAAAAATATTTTTGTCTTATTGAAGTTTTAATGGTACTACATTTATTCTTCTACATTCAACTTTCACAGTAGCAACAGATTACCATAAGTAGCGTCCTCAATTTTTTTGAGATTTTTCAGTAGTGTGCGTCGTAGCATAAAAAATGCATTTGTGCCCTCGGAACGGATCTCGAAGAGGGCTGTCGTCTGTAGCATCGAACGAGAACGTTCTCGATTATTCGATAATGTATACAAAAGACGGTCCTCGCCGTTCCGAGAACTTTCGCTCAAGCAGTCGAAACGGACCTTATAGCGGTGTGCGGATTGACACATTCGCCGATACGTTGACCCGGCAGCGCGTTGTATGAGGCGGCGTGCTTGAGCACGTGCCGCCATATCTTCAAAAAATTCTTGAAAAAAATAAAATTCTGAAAAAAGGTTTTTATATGGCACCTGAAATTACTAGTAAATGGTGCTAGTAGTACCATTTTCAATGATGACGAAAGATATTTTACTTCGAAGTCAAATTAAATTCTAGGTCAATTTAACCCAGTGTGACAACGTATGATTAATCTTACAGTAATTTGACGTATCTAACCAATTGTAATATTAATTCATTTTCAGATATGATAATCGTGTCTGATGGTATCATAGGAACCACTGATGTTCACGTACTGGATTCTGTGATCCAGCAGTTGCGTGCAACAACAGTTGCATGTAGTTTTCTACACGTTGGTGGTACATATCATCCACATTCTGCGGATGGTTTAGTTCCATATGAGGATCTGTTGTATTTCATTGCTGGAGCAACTTTGGGTTCATATATGTCTCTCATTCCACCTGCCGTAAGTAACGTTTCTACATGTATATCATTGCTGAATGTACTAGTACTTGGACCCTTATCCGGACAGTCTATTTATGTAACGTAAACGGACAGTCGAAGTGTGGGTCCATTGTACTCACCATGATCGGATAAGAGTTAAAATTTTTAAGTGTTTTCCCTGGATGAGATGACGAATGGTCTGTTGCAAGTCCAATTTGGTTTAGAGGCACTTTGGCTGTTATCCGACTGTAGATAGATTCTTTAGTCCAAAGCTGCACCAGAGTTGGGCATTATTTAGATAAAAAATTATTTAAATAACTATTAGAATAACAGGGACTTTATTTTTATTTGTTACTTCAAATTCGAATAGAAAGAGTATCTTAATTCGATGAGCGTCGAAGGAATAAATTTATTCGATGAGAATTATTCGACGAACAATGATACTTTTTTTTGTTGAATACGTTTCATTTGCAGCGTCGAATGAAACTTCCATTTTTTATCTGAATCTTTTATTCGTATACTTCAAATAAACGCGCTGCCAAGCGTCGAGCGTCGAACGCAAGACCACAGATCGACATTTATGCTACGACATGCCAAGCACGAGCCGAGCAAGCGGCCGAGCACAAGCCTGCAACAAGTTCAGTAGTACATACTGTTTCATTTAAAATAAATGAAAGAATATTGTTGTTGGCTGGTCCCAAAGTCATCGAAGGCCCATGACGTGCTCGGATCGTCCTAGTATAAAACGATCTTTAACCGACTCATTGTCAGCTACAGCGGTGTTGCCTTCACTATTTCAGACTATGTCTTATCCTGTATTTGAAAATCTTTATTAATTTTCTCAAAACCGAAGGTCTATGTGGGTGAAAGTCAATAGCGGTTTTCTGCACATAGTCTACACCAGGCCTGTCCAACATGTGGCCCGTGGGTCACCTAAACTTACACTTACAAAATGATTTCTATATTTACAGACGCATTTAGAGGAAAGAGAAATGAACATATATCATAAAAATTTTTTATGCTGGCAACTGTATCGTGAAGTACTTTGTGATGAATCACCGTATTACCCAAATTGGCATTCTAAGAATTCGTTGTTTTACGAACAAAAATCTGCTCAACTTTTACAAAAGAAACAAATCGAAGACAAAGTCAATTGTACTTTAAGCAGTTTACTATGTTGTCGACTTCGAGAAGGATACTTAATAAAGCGAGCTAATGTAAGAGATGAAATGCTTGAAATTTGTTTTGTGTTACTGTGGAAGTCTAGTGTTTCACTGGAATATCTAGTAATATGCCCTTGGTCTACAAAATCATTATCTGTGTCTAATACAATACAGTACAAAATCACTATAGAAGGTAAGTTAAAATGTTTGATTTAGAATGTAAAAAACAATTTAATTAATTATCGCTTTTAAATATTTTTTGCAAGGGGAGACTCAGATCTGTCCCACCCGATTCCAACAAGCATGTGCATATTTGTAGGTATATGTACATGTATCAAAAGCATTGGTAGAGTATTACCCGCATATAGACATTCATTTTTGAGATAACAGGGGTGAAAGTTTGGAAAAACCGTCTGTGCGGTTAAATACTAATAATCATGATTCTTTGTCAATAGCACCAGTGGTGAAGCGGCAGCATGAGGTCAATGTCCCTATTTCTAAACATGTAAGAGTTCTGCTATCGTAGAAATTGATTTTCATGATTTATTTATGCAATAAACGGCAAATAAAACTTATTAGATATAAAATCTAAACAGCCCTTTATAATTAAATTTAAGTATTTTTAAAAACATTTTAACTTGATCATAGTTACAGTGGACCCTAACTATATTGCCATGGTCGGGGCTGTAGGGGAGTATGAGTTCGGAGCCCCCTCCATGCTAAGTTCTATCGTCATAGCCTGGGCCTCAGGGGCCGTGCAAAAGCTGGGTCGTGTTGGTGCGCCGGCGTACGCAACGTGATGGGAGAGCGAATTTGTGTGCTCGACAGTACGTGTGAAGGAGAAGTGCCTCGCGTGGCAATATATTTAGTGGCAATATAGTTAGTTCCACTGTAATTTTATATGAAGTATAAAATGTCCCTATTTCTGCTCAGTGAACTTGAAAATGCTCGTATTTCTGTTCACAAACGTGTCCTTATTATTGCTTAGCGAAAATCGAAGTGCCAAAACCAAACTTGGCGAACAATATTAAAAATTCCATAAGTTTTTTTTAGTAAAAACGCAGCGTCCTCGAGTAACTCACGACCAGCGGGCTGTAGCATTTTGTACAGAAATACTGACCTAATGTAAATAATTTTTTGTGTAATCAATTTATTATTTAACTTTTTACATTAAATAAGAAATATACGTACTGAACAGAAATCGGGACGTGATTAGAAATAGGGACATTGACCTTAGTGGACTACCAACTTGTTGATCTGGGTTCAATCTCTGACGGACTTATTATTTTTTATTGCACATACAGAAATATTCCTCTTTTGTATTGCTATTATGAACACGTTGCTCCATATCGATGCTTTTCATACACGTATGACTACAACCCTGCACAAGCTCGTTAAAATTGGGCTTGGACAGATCTGAGCCTACCCTTGTTGCAAGTAACTAAAATTAAAATTGCTTGGAAAATACAAATTAATTTTGGTATAATCTTTTAATATTACTTATATAATATGAGAAGTAACAGTAAAAATAAAGTAAACATAAGACACAAGAGGGAAATCTTAAGTTGTATTTTTCATTGAGGCAGTATAAATGATTACATTTATCAATTTTTTCTCCAACAAAGTTAATGGTAAAATAATTTTGGAAAATGACTTTGTTATATGTACTGATACAAACAAACCCGGTCTGACTAATTGGCGGCTCAAGAGCCAAACTGAAAATCAAGGATTTTTTCGCATCACCTCTTATAATAATTTCAATTACTTAAAAAATTTGTTCGAAATTTGGGCTCGATTGGATAAGGGTAAAGGGAGCGCTTGAGCCCTAAATCGTGTAAATAATTTCTTAAATGCTCACAACGTCAATTTTATTCGATTATCCTCTAACTTATTACTTATATCAATATACATGTCAGATAGAAGTTATAGATCTAGACAAGAAGCATCGACTCCACTTAAAACACGTTGATGCTAACAAGTGTTAGCGGTCGTGCAATGAAGTGAATACATATTCGGTGGAATAACCCGGACGCCCTTGACGTTACAACTCTTATAGATGCTTCAAAGATATAGCATTACTCATAAACCTGACTGACCCTGAAGTTTATTTGTTTCGGTAGCTTAATCCTGTCACTCGGTACCCTTGAGTTGTAAAAACTGTGATCAACTATCGTTCAGGGGCGTACGACGTCAGTTTGGGATCGGTTTTTCCGTTTTAATGTAATTAAACAATTTCTTATAGCGTACTAATTTCAGATTTAAAATACTTCTGGCACTTTTATTCTTGTTGAAAGCTTACGAAAATGTAAATTTCGTTTAAATATTTCAGTCTTTTTCGTTTCATTCCTTGGAACCCCATAGCTGAAAGTGGCCTACGGCCGTGAATTCGGTGGGACACACTGGGCCCCCGATGATCCTATATCCCCGATGGCTAACGCTATATTTTTGAAGCAGCTATACCTGGTTATCCGGGTGCGGATAATACGTTTACGGGTACACAATATAATTGTATTACAATACAATGTATTCGTAATTCGTAATCGACGAAATACAGTTAACCGTTTATTCCGTTTAATTGTGTTAATTTTATTTAACAGCAGAATAAAACAATTTAATAACATATGTTTGACTATTCTTATTCAAGTTACATATTTTGGGTCTTCTTTATATTACATTTCTGTTACACAATACTTTTCGAAATACAATATTTTTAATTTCTATTTTTTTTTACATACTAAAATAATTTACGTAATATAAATATAAGGCTACGCGTAATGTTTATTACGATCCACTACATTAAACGGTTAACTATTCTTTTTGGGACACCCTGTATAAAGACACAAATATTTTGTTTCAGCTCCCTATGAATTTCTTCATGATATTACATGCTTATCAAAGAAGCCATTGAAATCACAATATCGACAAGGAGTTGTAAATCATTTTTGGGCTGCTTTAACATCTTTAACAGAAAGTGATACTACGCTTGCACATTTCAGTTGGTTTCCAGAATTTGGTTGGACTTGGTACAGTGTGCCTGATACAATTAGGAGTGGCATGCCTGTATTTTATTCATCAGCTTATCCTTCACCTAGCACGGTGCAACTTAGGTATGTTGAAAAGAATTAATAATCTAAATAATGTAACATGTCGAAAGTCGCTTGTTACGGGTTGAAATTTTATCGTGTAAATACCATATCTTGTGTATAAAATACAATAGAGGTAATACATACATATATTATGTGGAGCTGAAAAGATGTCTTGCCGGCGGACACAGGGACAAGTGGATTATACCGTTGCCTTCACCTTCTGTGTTTGTTATTTGTGTTTAGGGAAAAAATAAAAAAACTTATACTTCAAACGCTGTTAAAGTATAAGTGTCATTATTACGTTTCTGCAAAAAATATATCAAAATTTTTATTTTCGATTTCTGAACAGTTTGCAATGAATACAATATAAATCCAGCTTTGTTAATTTTATTAGATATTATTCTATTTTCTTTCCTGATTCTATTGTTTGTATATTTTGTATAACATCTTACAATATTTTATCCAGGGTAATATAAAACAGTGACTTATTTAGGTGGGGCCGTTTTGTTACATGAATCAGGCATTTTACCAGAGTATTGTAAATTCTCGATAAGTGTTCGAAGATTCCTTGGCACTGGCAAGAAGAGGTGGGTGTAACTGTTTCCCCAAATGTAACTTTTTAATAGGTTTAGTACAGTGATAGAGCTTGGAATTCTGAAGCCAGTGATGTGTTTCAGCGGCGTGTGGCTATTTGTCTATGATATCTTTAACGTTCAGTGCCGAGGAGTCTTCGAACACTCTGATGTTTGAAAAAAATAACTGTTTTCCACTACTTTTTGTTACCTTTGATCATAATTAGAAAGCAATTGTGAAGAGAAATGAGAAATTGAAGCCATTTGACAGATAAAATACAAAGTTACTGAAACATTTTTTTATTGTTCCCTTTTAACAGTGGGGCGTATATTCTCATTTTACCGTAATTCATAATATTCTGAATTCTACAAATTTCTACAAAATCTCTATGGTGTCGTATTTAACTTACTTTCATTAAAAGGCCTTATTAAACCATTTGTTAATACCTTCGTAAACTACTGCAGACGATAAGATCTTGGCACACCGCGACACTTGCGTTGTTCCTTTAAAATGTTCAGGATCGTTCAGTTTGTCTGTATTTCACTTGTTTTCGGCGCTATCTGTTCATTTTCTTTGTTACACGACGGTCATTGAAATGCGATAGCTTGAAAAAGTTGGTCGTAGAGAGGAAGTTATACAGGGTGTGAAAGTGTCTCACAGTTTCATTAGTACTCTGTAGAAATTAGCAGACTGATAATAGGACTTGTTTGAACCTGGTCATTTAATGTGCACAACAATAACCAAGCCGTCACGAACATAGTAGAAGGAAAGAATAGACAGGAAATCGTAGAGTAACACGAAAGACTTGAAAAGTGAAAGTTACGAAAACTAAATTAGAAGGACGACTAGGACGTGTTGGCACTTCTGTAGCCGCTAGGCCCATTATAACGAACCAAATATGATCTTTATTGTTCAATATTCTGTATACTATTCAGTGTCCACATCTACCAAGCTATAGGACGTAAAATCTAGCTGTCCACTATTTGTAGTCGATTGACTATTTTAAAGGCAAAATGGAATTGTTTTTGTTATTTCATGCCATTTTTCACATATCCCCCCATGCGATACGAGAAATACTATGGCATGCTTGCAACTGATGAATTAGATGTCGATTTTTTTGCAATCGTTATGAAAAATGATTTGAAGCAATAAAAATTCGTAAATGCCAGTGCACCATTAGATAGGATACTGTTTGTGGTACCTATACATGTTTATGTCACAAATTTATGGGTAACATAAAATTTATTTTTTTTTAGTGATGCAGCATGTCCACAATTTGGACAAATATGGCAGCCTGTGGTGTCTTTAAATCCCTTACAATGGGCACGTTGGATGCATACACAAAGAGTAACATTAATTTTGTCCCACGACAGGCCACTGCCAAAACACATGCACCAAGCAAATCAGAGTGGGCGTTTTCAATGCGTTCAAAGCCGCCAGTCAGCCGCAGTTCTTTATGCAATGTTAAAAAATTGGGCTACTTTTGTGCTCGTTGAAAATCATACATATGTGCAATTTATCTATAAGGAAACGGAAAAACCTCCTGTCTCATTTTCGTTAATTCGTATTACTTGTAAAGGTCTCTGTGCCATCCTGAACATTGCATTTGCCGCTGGCACGGAGGGAGTTGTACGCCATAATGTCGTCATCGACCTTCTAGAACGGTTGTCTAAGCTTACTTTACCAAACAGATCGACGGGACAAAGGGAAACACCGTCTTGTACGATTATACACAAATCTTTAGAAAGAATCTTAATTAGATATGAACGAATGCCAACTGATTTGAATTCTATTATATTTCCTGATGGAACTCAAACAAACTCGACGAGACATACAATATCTTTTGGAGGAATTTTGACAACTAGTTTGTCTCGATACTTGCATCACAGTCGATGGCTTTGGCACATAAAGCGACCATTTGTGCAAACAATACCAGGAATTACGTTACCAAGATTGCACATAACTACAATTGCAAGGATTCTCTCTACGATAACAAGGTAGATATTTCATATCTATATTTTCTGATTTTGTTATTCTTACATGTACAATACGCTAAGATAAGTAGTTTCAGTGCGTGCATAAAGTACCTGTTCTTTAGAGTATTTTCAAATAGCATACAAAATATATACAGGGTGTAACAAAAATGTTGCTCGACCCGGAAATGGAACACTCGGGGGATGATTTAGAACAACTTTTCCCTTAGCAAAAATGTAATCTGAGGCTTTATTAACAAGATATTAACGAAAAACCCCGACCAATCAGAGCGTGAGTCTGCCAGCCGAGCTGCCACGGTTGCGCTGGCTACGCGCTGCGATTGGCCCGCTAACTTAAAGATGAGTACCAGTAATATACAGGGTGTAACAAAAATGTTGTCCGACCCGAAAATGGGGCACTCGGGGGGTGAATTGGAACAACTTTTCAGGTGAATTTCCGTAAGGGTGAATTCTATTCAGTTTATTAGTCATTATTATTTTCTTAATTTAACGCAAGCTGACTTTTTCCCGGCGATAAATTTGCAAGTTTCTGTACCTACATTTTTTTTCGCGATTTTCGAAGAGACTTATTCATTATCACTGACATTGTTGCTCGTTATTAAACTAGGGATTTTTATCTCAATAAGTCACTTCTCGTTCATTTTCTGTTGTATTACCTTTTTGTTAATACGTTATTTGAAACAGGAATTTACAAATTTCTGACCCTCTCTCTTCAAATAATTATTAGTTTCCATTCTGTTTAAAAAACTAACTGTGCATTCGTCTTTTTACGTTACACATAATTTGCCTAAATTTATGCTTCATTCATTAGTCTCTTTAAATAACAAACGACAGGTGATAAAAAGTATGATTTTATTTGTTACGTCTCTTTTATTTGCTATTATACGCAGTTCCTGCGATGCATGCTGACCTACTTGTTCGAAGCTTCGTAGTACAAGCGCAACGCGTAGCCACCGCTAGCGCGGCAACTCGGCTGGCAAACTCGCGCTCTGATTGGTCGGGGTTTTTCGTTAATATCTCGGTAACGAAGCCGCACATTCCATTGTTGCTAAGGAAAAAGTTGTTCCAATTCACTCCCCGTGTGCCCCATTTCCAGGTCAGACAACATTTTTGTGACACCCTGGATAGATATACAATACGTTCGAGGAAAGTTGATGATGTCAGGGACATCGACGAGTGCTTGATATGATGTTTTAAGACGACGAGGATTATTCGTTTTGAGATTTAAAAATAGATATTGTATTGTATTATACGAGACGTCATCTGTAATTGCTTACATTCGACTATTCCGTTTAATCAACGGAAACATTGACGTGTGAAATTTATTTTATTAAGCCATTAGGTATCAATTAATAGTAATAATGTGTGTACCGTTAACGGAAGAAGATCTCTAAATTTACACAAACATGATTATCAACGAATTAAATAGAATCTGTTATTTTCATCGAATTATTTCGATAGTGTACCCGTTTATCAATATATTTTTAATGCGTTGCTGAAAGAAAGCAAAACTGCCATTGCTTTATCATAAATTGTTGAACCAAGGTCATTTCAAGTTCATAGTATCCTATATCGTTGAACTCGCATTGATACCATGCTACGAAGTGAAGAATATACGGTACCACTTAAAAAACAATCGGTGGCGTTTGAAAAATCATGAAGATAACAGCAATCAGAAGTTCATATAGTCATGTTTGCCTCCTTGTAAAGTACCACTTTCCTCTTTAACATTTGCTCCTATCTTCAATCCTAACAGAGTCATTTCGTTGTTCTGTTTCTCATGACTCACCCTGTATACATACATACAGCCTGCATAGATTATTACATTTTCTACTAATCGGTTTATGAATTTTCATTAGTCAAAATGAAATGCATATTTAAATGAATATTTAAATTTTAAGTTACAAGAGCGAATAAAAATAAACGGGAATTTTTTTGAAGTTATTGAAGTAAAATATGATTACGAGACCCACATATTATTTTTTTACGTAATTTCCTGATACAGAAATATGTTATTCCCAACGGATAGGGATGGTAGCGATCCCGTCTTAGTAGAAAGTACAGGGACTGTTCAGCAGCCAATTGCGTACCAACTATAGTGGACACTAACTATATTGCCATGGTCGGGGCTGTAGGGGAGTAAAATGGCAGTGTTCATAGCCCTCTCCATTCTAAGTTCTATCGTTATAGCCTTGGCCTCAGCGCCTGCGGAAAAGTTGAATCGTGCTGATGCGCCGGCGTTCGCAACGTGGAGGGAGAAGGAATTTGTATGCTTGAAAGTACGTGTGTAGGGGAAGTGCTTCACGTGGCAATATATTTAGTGGCAATATAGTTAGAATCCACTGTACTTCACTTCCGTGTCGTCCCCAAAGCGCATCCCTCCCAATGCTTTCTTCAGTGGCCCAAACAAATGGGACTCGCTCGGAGATAAATGTGGACTGTATGGGAGATATTCAAGAAGTATCCATTCAATTAGCTTCAATTTCTCCGGTGTTGGACAGCTGCGTAAGGTTTGGCGTTGTCGTTGAAGTAGCAGAACGTTTAGTCAGCAATAATATGACATATTCATTGTTCGTCTTTCGCGAAGAAAATCAATCAAAAGGACGCCTTTAAAATACCTGAAACCAATGACAAGAACCCTTCCAACTGACAAACGCGTTTAGGATTTCACTGACACAGTCTTTTCTCTTCTTCGCCACTCCATGCTGTCCTGTTCCGTCGAAGGAGACAAAACGGTTCAAAAATCTTCCCCCTCTGCAATCGAATATTCAAGTTAGTCAAGAGACGTGGAACCGATCTTGGTAAGACCTTTCGGTAGTTCAGATGGTCATGAATAATGTATCGAGCACTACTACAGCGTATGCCCATTGTAGAAGAGAATTCACTTATCAATATGTATCGGTCATTCTGAATGAGTTCCCGAACAGCCCGAATGATGTCGTCCGTGATGCTGGTCTGTGGGATTACCATGGCACTAGGTGCTTGGATATCGCGTGGGCGAGGGTGATAGAAGAAGAATCCCACATACTCTTCTGAACTTTATTCAACCCGTCGAACAACTCCTCACACTCGAGTCGCTGGAGAGCAACTTCCGCCCAGACTTCAGATGCACCTCGGTCTCCCACTCCTACACGTCCTTGGTCGCCGTTGATAGCTTTCGTTTTCAACGGCGTCTCATCCATCCAAAAATTGTTTGTGTCAAGCGTAGCTTCCTTGAACTGCACTTGCAATTACCTTGAAATATCTGCCGGTTTAGCCCCTTTTTTAGTCACGAATTTTATGACGATGCGGTGTGCAAAGGACGTGGGGGCCTCTTGCTCACTCATCGTGCTAGTGACTGACCAAATCACTCCGTAGGAGCCTTAGGTTCGAGAATGAGTCCACACATCTCCACCTTTATACCCTCAAACCCTCAGTGCCGTACCATAATTTCTCTGACCATTAAAATAACATTCCCATTTATATTTTATTCGCCCTCGTATGTCGCTAATAATTTGTGTGATTAAGTTAATGAAACGTACATTGTCATAAGTACTTCTGTTGTTATACGTACATGAGCCAATGTTAGTGTCGGAACGTCAACACATGTATAAAACTGTGTAATTTGTTTGTTAGGATGCGTTTGGCCGAAGGTTTCAACTTTACGTATTCAGCGGCCGGTATTTTAAACATGGTTCTTGAAGTACAAATGCAAGGTGTGGATAAAAGTGATGCAACTTATCCATGTATTATTCAGTACATTCTATTTCCACCGCATGTTATATCAAATTCAGTACTCGAACGTGATAGTGTTTCAGAAGAAGATACCGATGAAGGTAAGAGAGCCATTTTTATAATTATGAGGTTAATTATAGCATTAGATCGAAAATAATATATTACATTCACTACCGAGCCTAGATGTCTTCTGAACGTGTACTTTCTGATCACCTTCACTTTTGTTGAGATTTCACTCTGTTTCTAACATTTTCCAAATTTTTATGTTAACTAAGGGCTTATGTAAAAACAATATATTAACACTAAACGTACACACGACCGGTCAAATACCGGTTTTGCCATTCTAGTTCCTGCCTTTCTGAGGGGTTCGGTAGTGTTTAGTGTGCGAGTTTATCGCGGGCCGAGTCGATTACAGGGTTGAGAAGACCGTCTAAGGATAGTTAGTTCTATCCTGACAATGATACGGAGTATCATTTGTGGTGAAGCAGAAAAATCCCGTAATTCGTATTAACAAATTATTTTTAACAGTGATTGACAAAGTCCACGAAACCACGATTAAACACGGTGTGCCGTACGCGACATAATAATTACGATCACGAAAATCGTTTACGCAAATTGCCGAATACAGGCACTAAGTACAGGGATTTCGCGATTATTGTCCCGAACTCAAGTCCGCGCCGGGACAATAATCGTGGACTACGCGAAACACTTCGAACCCTCGTGAATACGTTTTTTTCCCGAAGCTCGAGCCTCGGCAACTCGCCTTTGTAGTATTCCGAACAAAAAAGGACAAGCGATTAAAAAACAGAAAGTGGACTTCTGTTTCCACTCGACTAGACTGCGTGGCCCGCCTGCGACGCTCTCGCCGACCAATGGTTACATTATAGCTGACCACATAGTCCGATTGTGTGACTGGAGGTGAAAAAGACGTGTGACTGGAGGTGATCCAGCTACATTTAATTCGTCGGTTGTCATTTAGCTCTGGGCAGTCGCTGACGACTGAACGCTTCGACTAGTCGTCGTACATTCCCCCGCTCCGTCTGTCGAGTCCATCGAGCGCATACATTGTTGCCCAGCGCGCCGAGACAACTCCCTATTCACGAGCTAAAAAAAGGTTACCTTCCCGGGTATCGGTGAGACAACACTAATATAAGGATGAAACTTTTTTATTTTTGATTCGTTGTTAATGAAACTTTTACTAGTATATTGATGAAATTTTTCTGATTAAGATGATACCAAATACGACATAATTTGTATAAAGTGTCATGTAGAAAGTGTTAACAGTTCATATTCGTTCATTGTCACTTCTGATAAATCATAAGTAAATATAATCCAACTCGTGTTTGGTATCATTTTAGTCAGAAAAATCTCACCAATATGTTCATAAAAGTTTCATTAATAAAGAACCAAAAATAAAAAAGTTTTATCGTTGCATTATTATTGTCTCGCCGACACCCGGGAATGTAACCTTTCTGTGGGCTTCCAATGTTCAGTCGTTAGCTCGTGAATTGGAAGTCGCCTTGGCGCGGGGCCAACAAAGTATGCGCTTGCCGGGTTCCACGGCCTCCCCCCTCCCCCCAGTGGTGGGGATGACACCTGTTCAATAATCGTGGATCAACAAACAGTCAATAATCGTGAGGTCCCTGTAGCCTGAAAAATGTCGTGTTTGAACCCATTTTCACTCGGAGAATCTCTTTTTAGTTCATTCGTGACACTTTCATGAAAATCTATTCAAAAATGTAGAAGTCTCAGTTTTCATTCGTATGTGATTCCTTATCTGCTTACATTGTATGCCGATGGTCGATCGCTGGTCTTTGACGTTCGGCCCTTGATACTGGACAGCATGTTTAATTGAGCTGGCAAAAGTTATTAGAAGGTGTATCCGATGCCTTCCAATAAAAGATACAGATAAAAAATGAAAATTTGATTAGACGCTGCGAATTAAATGCTTCCAGTAAAAAAGGTGTCTTTATTCGTCGGATAATTCTCATCGAATGAATTTATTTATTCGACGGTCATCGTTTTTATTCGAACTTCGAATAATGAATAAAGACGAAGTATCGTTCATTCGAATCGTTATTTAAATAATTGTTTATCTATTGTAAATAATACCCAACTTTGCATGTAACACTGGAAGATTAAAGTATGTGTTGCTTACCAAATGAAAAAGAAAGTGTTTATATATTTCAGGTACCGTTGATGGTGAAGTAAGCATTGATGAGTTTGAAAACCTAGGCGATTTTCAGATTGTTTCTGAAATTTGGATCGAACCTCAGTGTGGTGTGGTGCAATTACCTACACAGTCAGCAGCAACATATATGTATCTCTTACAATATCACGAACTTCCGAATGCGGTGAGTATTTTTGTTCTACATATCAATTTAAAGTACAGATTTCGTCCAGGACCGAGTTTATGGAAATACAGTATACAGTATGTCAAAATTTTCGCTTATTTCAGTTGTACGGCATTAAAACTCGCGACTGATTGCTTGAGTGAATGTAGACCGCGATGACTGTTGCGCTCACGGCAAATTAATAACATGAGGGCTCTTTTAGATTGAGGTGTGAGGATGTTAAGTAAATTTTTAGTCAGTTACTAAACTGGTGTATTTACAAAAGTAACTGTGTATTACCAGTTTGTATGATGTGTACTCTACGAGTGCTGGTGAGTGTCTGCCTAGATCTTCCTCTCAAATGGAGAGTGGTGTCCTCTAGAGGGTGTGTCTTGTAGAAAAGAATAAATGGAAAAAAGGCGGATGTAGATGGTGTGTGATTGGTTTTAGTCGTCGTTGTTTTTCTTATTAGGGAATGTTGGAGGAAGTAACTAAAGGGGTGGAGAGTAGGGATGACTGACAGTGAAAAGTAAGAAGGGTGGTGGAAGGAAAGGTGAGTGAGAAGGTTAGAAGAGAAAGATGACCTGCGATAGAGGCATACGCTGGTGGAAAGAAAGATGCGAGTGAGAGGGGTGAAGAAAGGGATGACCTGTGGGTGATGCGTATGGTGGTGACGAACGTTTATGACTGTTTCCCGATGATTTTATGATGGTGAAAGTTTGAAATCGAGTGGAATGGGACGTTTTAAGCATTTTACGGTTTTAATCCGGGTTTTGGAATTTTCGGCACGTAATGCAATTAAGTTAATTTTCGTTCCGCTGAAGCAATGATAGATTGTTGTACTGGCGTCGTAAAGGCCCGTACATTAGTCTTATTAGATATTGCAAGAGGGGATATTGAATCAGATTTGTCTTACCCAAGAACAACAACATTGAACAATAATATCGCAAAATCTTGAACCGTGACAGAAAATGTATTTTTTTTGAATACATTAACCCTTTTATTCTCAAATACTGTATTCGACCTATGACCGAATACACGCTGAATTAAATCATTTTGAACTTTAGATACGTACAATACCGATTCTGTACTAAACTATTTAAATGTAATACTGCAAACTTACCAGTCACGACATTTTCTGAATTTTGACAATGTTCGGGATTGGGTGAGGCGCGGCATAACGTCATGCGCGTCCCAAACGAAGTTGTCCACGCGACGAGCACGTACGGCTCAGCTCGCCGCATATTCGGTAAATGTCGGGCGAATTCGGCAAGCGTCGTGGTTCACTATGCGTTACGTCGCGAAATATCATCGTGACGACACCTGGGGACCACCTCGCACAATTGTTACGGCAACTTTTTCTTGCTACGGCCAGGATTTTGTTTGGCAGTGTGCACCCTCATTTTCACTACAAGGATCGTTGCTGTGCGAGGTGCGTACGTGACAAGGAACACAGTTTACAGGTCGTAATTTTTTAGTAAATTTAAAGCTCTTTTTGAAAATTCTTTATAATGAAATTCTCTATCGATCTGCCTAGCCTAAATTTTCAATTTCGTTGCTCTTTTGTTTATATTTAGCGAAACATATCGATTTTTAAGACGATCAGTAGATATCTGTGGGCTTTTTAAAGTAAAATTTTCGAATTTCAAAATGGCGAATCCAATATGGCGAAGCGAAATTTCAGAAAATGAGTTCATTTGGAAGAAACTTAGTGTGTATAGATTTTCGGGGACAATATACATATACACACATATGGTACAATAAATATAATATAACACATGTAGTTATAAACAAATGCGCAACGAAATTGAAAATTCAGGCTGGACAGATCGATAGAGTTTTAATTTCATTCATAATGAACAATTTAGAAAAGAGGAAGACTCACAAATTACGATCTGTAGCATCGTACGCCACCTGGTAGACTTAATTAATATCGTCCATAGTACAGCGGACATCAGGTTTTCCAAGTTTATTGAAGAAATGAACTGACTCGTTTGTCCACTCGTTGCATGTAAACTAGAGACTGCGTGCAATATCACTAACGGTGATTTATCACTGTGATCGCCGACTCACGATCACGGTCGTGATGTAACTTCATTCACGACTGTGATTGCGATTTGTTTATCTTCAGTGAATTTGCTCACTGCGATTGTAAGTCCATGATCTTTAAACAGAAAAATGTATTCAATATGATTTTACGATGAATTTATGATACATTACTATTTGTATTTTTAAAAATCAGTAGAAAAAGAACAAAAAATTCTAAAAGAATGATTTGCTAGGTAACATGTAGATTATAATTTATAATCATAATTTCTTCATTATTATTCATTGTTTCTAATTATTCCTTCACTTTATACGATATAGCTCGAATTTTTGTTTCGATGTCGTTAATATTATAAAATATACAGATTATGTGTCGCGTGTGAGGAACTGTTATGTCAGAAACGATCACGAAAAATCACGGATCACTGTGAAAAATCACCGTGATTGGGAACGAACGTGATCGAATCACTCGTGATTCACAAGTAGCAGTTCACGCCATGTGAACGCTTTCTCGGTCGAAATTTCGTACTCGTTCGAGTCATTCGTTAGGTGTAAACTAGGCATTAGGCTTGATACATGGTCAAAATTGCAACGCGAAAGGAGGGGTTTGATAGACGATCTTTTGATATTTGTATTAAGCGGGTCGTTGAAGGAAGGTCTTGATCGCGTTAAGTTGGTAGCATTTATAGAAATTAGGATTTGAAGGACTGGGAGACTGTCTCTTCTCCGCAGTCATTCGTTTTTTGTTTAACAAGGGAAGACCGCGACATCTGAGACACGGATTTTGATGAGTCTTATATATGTGTAGTGTAGGTGTAGTACACCAACATATGTGTCAATGTTGGGTCTAACACTTAAGCATTTCAAAAATATTAATAAAAAACAATATTGATGCATTTAAGAATTCAAGCGATAGCGCAGGTTTTCAAAGTAACGAATAGCTGCGTTTTTAAAGGACAGGGGTCGCACCAGAACTGTTGTCGGTTTGATTCCTAATGCGGTCAGTTTTTTTTTAATTGAAAGTATAAATGTATTTTTTTGTATCTTATTCCTTAAAATATAAAGTACTATTATTGACATTCTAATGTATGACATTTATCATAAAAACAAATAAAACAATCAAATTTACAACACCATGCGCATTTAATAAAAGATGTATAACCACAGTTACATTGTTTAACTTTAGAATTCTTATATTTTTTAATATTGGAATTTAGTTTTTGGTAGATTGTACATTTGATTTAATTGAAAAAATATGTTCATCACACGGTTTATTAAACATATACATCAAAAACATATGCAGCATCTCGTGCACTATACAGGGTGGCCCACATAACTATTAACAGCTCAATATCTCGAAAACTATGCCATCGATTTTAAAGTTCTTGGTCTTAAATTGCATGAATCTGAAGGGCCTTTCTAACTACATAAACGTGAAGTGGCCCCTCCCTTCCCCTTTAAGAGGTGGGGGCGGAGGTACCTTTCTAATTTTAAATGGAACCCCTTATAAAACGTTACATATTTAGATTGTACAGAAAAAAAAACAAGTAAATTTTGTCTGAAACATTTATTTGTCCGATATTTCCATGATGAGATATAACAGTTTAAAGTTTCAACTTGTAGGTACTTACTTGAAGCGCTCGGAAATTGCGTTATTGAAATAAAATGTTCTTTAAATTAAATGTTCAAAATGTCCACCACGGGTTTGTAAACATTTATTTACTCGAAACATCAAAGTTGTTCTAACATTTGTTAACATTTCGGGAGTCACTGAAGCGCAAGCGTAACGTATTCTTTGTTTCATATTCTCTTTTGTCGTCGTCGGTTGAAACATAACTTTGTCCTTTACGTATCCCTATAAGAAAAAATCTAATGGTGTTAGATCGGGGATCGAGGAGTGGCTCCCGACATGTTAACAAATGTTAGAACAACTATGATTTTTCGAGTAAATAAATGTTTACAAGCCCGTGGTGGACATTTTGAACATTTAATTTATATTTCTTCACGAATAAGCAAAGGACTCAGGCGCGTATAATTCAATAATGCAATTTCCGAGCGCTTCAAGTAAGTACCTACAAGTCGAAATTTCAAACTGTTATATCTCATCATGGAAATATCTGACAAAAAAATGTTTCAGACAAAATTTACTTGTTTTTTTCCTGTAGAATCTATATATGTAACGTTTTATAGGGGGTTCCATTTAAAATTAGAAAGGTACCCCCGCCCCCACCCCTTAAAGGGGAAGGGAGGGGCCACTTCACGTTTATGTAGTTAGAACGGCCTTTCAAATTCATGCAACTTAAGACCAAGAACTTTAAAATCGATTGCATAGTTTTCGAGATATTGAGCTGTTAAGAATTATGTGGGCCACCCTGTATTTTGGACCGTGTCAGTTCTAGTTCATGCGTTGTTGGTTGTTGTATTCAGTATGCATGGTATGCTTCTAAATTAACAGACAATAGAAAGATTTTTTAAAATGTAAATCAGGTGCAATTTCCACCTGAAATTAAAACAAAAATATGTATCGTGGTTATAGTTAGTTGCGCATGGTGTCGTGAATTTTATTGTTTTATTTGTTTTTACGGTAAATGTGATATATTAGAATATCAAAAATAGTACTTTATCTTTCAAGGAATAAAATAAGAAAAAACACATTTATACTTTAATTAAAAAAAAATGATCGCATTGGGAATCGAACTGACAACAGTTTTGGTGCGAGACCTGCCCTTTACGATCGCCGTTATTCGTGATACCCTGTTGTAGTGCTTAAATTCTTAAATATATTAATATCATTTTTTTATTATTTTGAAAACGTTTGAGTGTTGGACTCAACATTGATACATACGTTGGTGTAATACACCTACACTACAACATATATAAGACTCATTAAAATCCGTGTCTCAGATGTCGAGGCCTTTCTTGTAAGAGAAAGAGGTATTCATTAGAGTATGTGACAGAATAATGTATTTTGTTTC